GGCACAATATATACAGTAATGGCCAGCGGAAAATAATTATATCGGATCTTAGATAAAGCAATAAACATCAGACCTAAGCCTGCGAATCGAAACTCAGGTTCAGCTATTGAATTAGTAGCCCGCAAAAAAGAGCAAAGGCGTGTGGTAGACCAAAATAAAAATATTGTAGTATAATATTTTAATCCAAACTTATAAATACAGACAGAAGGTGAACAATATACGAAACGTAATAATTAGTGGTTAATCTGCATCATCTTCAATCTTGGGGGCGAGATAATATCTGATATAGCCGATATCATCAATTGTAAATTCGACAACTAAAAACAAAAAATACGTAAATATTTGACAATAAAAAAATATAAAGGAAATTTATAACTTACCGGCCGGAACATTCTCTGTAAGCGACAATACAACCTGACTTGACAGAGGAGCAGCCTTCGTGAAAATATTAAAATAGTGGAGGGAATAGGTCATGCTGACTGCTTCATGCATTTCTATAGAAACAGATTCTTCTGGCTTGTCAGCATTAGCAGTCTGAGATAAATGAATATTGCCAGTGCCTAGATCTCCGGTAGATGAAAAGCGAACACCATCCTTTGCTACTGATATAACTACCGAATCGCCTATCTGTCCTAGATCTCGGCAGATCCTTTGAAGTTCAGAAGATGGCATTCGTATGACGCACTTGTAGTCGGTATCCTTGGGCGAATAAAGAAAGTATTGAGCATACCGGTATTCCAAGATGATCAACGTCAAGATCCATTAGCTTTATTTCGAAATCAGAGGTCTTCTCTTGGTCTAATGTCAATTATACAAAATAAAGACGTTCTACTTTGGGACTCGAAGATAAACGTCAACCTGTCTGCTTTGTCTCCAGCCTTAAGTGTTATAGAGTCATTCCCACTAGCGCATTTCAGTATTTTGGAAGCACTATAACGGTGAAGCATGGGAAGTACGAGTACCTGGTTATATTAAGACCTAATGAAAGATTTCGGTCACACCTATACGTTTCAAAGCCATCACTACGCATTAATAGAGAGACAAGGCTGACGTGAGCATTATCCATCGCCTGCAGACTGATTCCATTCTCGGTACAATCCAGGGTTGCTTCTTGTACAAGATCTTTGACAGCATCTATGACTTTCTTCCATATTTCGGCCTTGCTGAGCTTGGCTTCAAACATGTCGAGGAGTTGAAATTTGATTCGCCGCTCAATGCACCAAGTAATATAATTGCAAAATACAAACTAAAATTTAATCCTATAAAAACTAAATACATAGCACTTACAACTGATTAAAATGTATTTTAAAAATTGTTGTGGGAGATTTGACATACTAGTCTGCTCTTGTTATTAGTTATCCCTCAGTTATGCGTCCTGATTATCTTTCTTGTGGTTCTTGCTTTTTAGAATTTCGTTTATCCGATATAGGGGAATTTATTGAGCATAAAAGATTAAATTGTGATGTTGGTCCTTGTTCTAAAGACGATAGTTCTCGACATTCTGATCATTCAAGTAACATTTTCGCCCAGATACTTGAATGTGTTCAATGCCTCAGGAAATTTAATACACCTTGGCCCCTACTTTTGCATGTTCAATTCGAACACAGAATGCATGTGGTTAAAAATCTTGTGGATTCATTCGATTCTTATGCTGATTCGAAAAAAGCCAAAACCAAATCTGTTCAGATTTCACAATCTAGGAAGTCAAGAACCCACAATAAATCAATGGATACCTCAGAAGACAATGAAGGCTCGCTAAGCTCTAACGATGCTTCTAGAAAGTCCTCCTTAAATGATGTTGGAACGCAGACCGCCGCCAATTCTATAGCACACGAAAAGAAACGTAGTCGCAAACTTATTGAAGACACTGGGTCTGAAAATTTTGTAGATTTAGAAGCCTTCAAAAATGAACTAGATAATGCAATATCCTCCGAAGATGAGAGCCAAGAAAATAAGACTTGTATAAAAAGTCCAAATCGTTGTGCCTCAAAAATTATAGGCAAATGCTCATGTTCATGTTATAAAGCTCTGCGAAGCCATAAAGGCGAATCAGCAGCTATTGGCTTAAATAGATCAGCAATGGTAAATGGCTCCCCTCATAAAAAAGTCACTGCCGATCAACCTGCTGATGGTCAACAGCAAGTTGTCAGTTTAGAATCAAACCCAAGTTCATTATGTTGTTCATTTGCTAATTTAAGGACGGCACTGATGCCAGAATGCTGTCTTGCCAATAAACGGCCATTTGTCACATGCTGTCCATGTCCTCCGTTGAAGCCAATAGTCATAACGTCAAATTCCGGATCCCAAACGGATTTTGATGCTGATTTCTCAGCCATTGATCTCAGTGAAATGGATTTATTCCTTTCATCAGAAGACGACTTGGGTACAGTATCAGTTATACAGGAAGACTCCAACAGATTTAATGCAATAGTATCTGCTAACTTCCCTGTTACCACTGGCTTTTCCACGTCTGCCAAACATCTTGATGCAACTTTTAGCCCTTATTTTCCAGCTGTTTTAAATGACTCCGTACTTCAGAATATTTCCGAAAGCGCACAATCTAGACTTAACGAAAAAACTGGTCATTTGTCTATTGAACTGGCTAATCAGGGCGCCAATTTGTCTGATATTCTAAAGACTACTAGGTGAGATAGTCTGTTTATGGTAGTTTGATAAGTACTGTTTTTTTTATAAGTTTCTATATTTCTAAACTAATGAGTTAACATTTAGAGTATCAATTTTACTTTCGTGTTTAAGAAAGCCTTGAATCTTGCACGACTAATATATCATTTTTGTTTCCGACTGTATAGCTATCTTGCCATGTTTTTCAGGTGTGGGTAATTCTAAACCTCTCCTTTCTTTAGAGTTATCTTGAAATTAGATCATTAATTTATATATTACTCAATAACAATCATGTAAATAAAAGGGCACCTCATTAATATATCATACCTAATTATAAAAGCTATGTATCATGTATCGCTGTTGCTAATTAGGATGCCTTGGCTTGTTATTTCTAAGTATTCGTTAAGAGAGAATATTGAACGAATTTAGAGACATAAAAAAGCGTGTTAAACGGGAGATAATATTTTGAGTAGATATTAGTCGCTTGTGAAGATTTTATAAATTTATTAGTGTGAAATTTAGAATTTAAAATAATATAAATGATTTTAGAGCTAAATCTAAATTTTAAATGGTTTAGTAAGGGCAAGATCTAGGATTTAGGGGAGGATGCAGCTGTTCGGTTTCAATTGCACTCATTTCACGCTTCATCTGTAGCCACTTCACATATCCGCAGCCACATAACTTAACTTTGAGCAAATATTGAGACAATGCAAAAGACATCCAACCAAAATATGAGATGCATATGTGGGCCAAATTGGACTATAAGAAGAAAGTAGGCTTGAAGCTGGCCACTTTTCTTGCCTTTGGGTTTTTGGTGAATTATCGTGAAGGATGTTGTTCTGCTCTGATGATGTCCGTCACATGATGAATGAAATTTCAGCGAGGATTCATCGGGGTCGCAGGGCGATGCGCCGAGGACCTATTCGCACAAATCTACAACCACAGCTCTAAGTCAACCCCTTCATTGCCTCCGGTGGAACCAACTTACGAATCCCTTCCACTGGCCTCTTCAAACGAAATGAAAGGTACTCCAACATCAAAGATGCTTTTGTTTGCTATTTCTGAGTGTTCGTTAAAAAGGATATTTAACGAATTTAGGTAGATATAATAAAACGTTTTGAACGGAAATAAGATTTTGAATAGATATTAGTCGCATGTGGAGATTTTATAAATTTATCGGTGAAATTTTGAATTTAAAATTATATTCATGATTTTAGAGATCAATCCAAATTTCATTGCTTTCGTAAGGACAAGATCTAGGATGTAAAGAAAAGGTATCTCGCACCTGTTTATTTGGGCTCGCTATTTACGCTGAGAGCCATACTAGCATAGATTGTGGACACAACTTAAAATTTAGTATTAATGATTTCTGTTGTTAGGGCTGACCTTTGTCATCACGAATGGCTATTATGTACTGGTCTTTGTCTCCACCTTAGCCCTAACAGTATTACTACTGGTCTTTATCCAGCTATTTTCTCATGCACTACATTCTCGGCGAATAACGCACTTATTAATTCTTAGGCATTATTTTTAGCAAGGCTGGTTGCTTCAGTACTGGCGGTTTCATTGTCATTGACAGTTATCCATTACTGATTGATGTTCGCCTGCTAAACCGGGCAGCTATAAAAAAAATCACTTTCGATAAACCACTTTGCTACACGAGTACAAAATCATGCATAGAATAATACAAAGCCTTCATTTTACTTAGCCTCAGGTCACATATAGATGAATAGGCTAGGAACACATGTAAGTGATCAAATAAGTTAAACATATTCGCTGGGTGAGCTGACCCTCGATTTCCGACAACGTTTTGAAGAACTTAATTGACTATGTGATTCATGATCATCATATGCTGGCGGATATTTTAGTGATTGCTTGATTCCGCTGACTAACAACTTGGTGAGTTACTCCTCACAACTGATATCTTATTTTCTCTGTTATGTGGAGGTAATCCTGAATGTTACTTTAAATGGAGCGTTTAGATGCAGGTGAATATTTTTGCCGACACAAATCGCCCAATTTTGCATTCCTTACACAAAGTAGGCTACATTTGAACGACACCTTAAAAAATTATCAAAACAAGTGCGCTTAGTTTTTTGTTTATTCAACTACTTAACCGTGGAGGAATTGGACTAATGATCTCTTGCATTACTTCTCTCTCGGATAGTCGACAGTTGCCTGTGCTTTCGTGAATCTGGCTGGTATAAATAGACAAGCGGCCGCATTCCCTTAATGCACATCTAATATATCGTCTTACTTATGATCAATCAACTTTTCACCAATCTAAACCATTCATATTGCCAACTTTAACAATAGCATAGTCAAGTAGTTCAGCTTGTGGACCGTCATACGTATAGGCGATCTACCTTTTATGCGTTTGTGATATGGAGTAAAGTCTCTGTGTGCGTTTATGTTGAATGAATTGAAAGGCGAATATTAGTGGGGCATAAAGAACTACAATATGAGATCGCTATCTAATGCATTTAAAAGTCTCATCAGTTTGGCACACCCATTTTGTACTAGTAAGAAATATGTACTAAAGATTTTTATTCGACTGTACTGCCAAATACATGTTTGCTTCATCTACAGTCCTACGATAAAAATATGCTATAGGAAAGGCCCGTTCACCTCGAAACTCACGTCTGTCTTGGCACTCTTTCCAGTATGGCGTAATGGTGATAACATGTTGAAATTATACTTTGAATTAGCCTGGTTCGATTCCCGCTGAGGATATTATGAGACTAGCTCATATGAGGTCGAAGCTGAAATCCAGTCCACTCCATTCCAGTCGCGTCGAGATACGACTGGATTTTTGGGTGGCAAGGCTAAGGGAAATTCAATGGCATCATGGGGCCTACTCATCTGATTGTAGGAAAATTCACTATCAGTCTTTCGTTACCTTATGAAACCTATGGTGGCCAAATCCCTTTATATATCCACTTTATTTTTGTGGATCCTGTGCGACATTTAGCGGAACACATTGCTATTACAGCTACTATCCGTGTGAGCTACAATAAACTCGACTGGAAGATGCAAATTGCGCAGGCTTGTTTCTTGCGAGCTTTGCACCAACCATAACTCTGTCCAACTTACCCTACGGTTGGATTACTTTGTTCAGGCATTAGTAGGTTTTCGAGACTACTGGTAAATCATATATATGAGTCTTGTTCGACATTGACTTGGTCGTTATCTTAGGGGAAACCACATTAGCTCATCAGAAATGCTTCAGGATTGCCATGACAGTATGAATGATAGCTAATCGCAATCATATTCTTTCTATATGCATAGCAGGGCCTGTCTTTTACCCATTTGTTGTTTAATCAAAAGATCCTGTGAGAGAGACCTGTAGGCCCACATATAAGAGGCTATCTGAACGCAAGCCAACCTGAAAGGGTCCGTGTTTACAAAAATCGGAATTGTCCGATCAATTCACTCACACATAACGCCAGATATATTGCCAAACGCTTAGCCTGGATATGGGGACCATGCCAGTCAGCGAAAGATTAGGGAAGCGAGCGAAATCGGCAAAGCAGCCAACATCCTCAATTGAAAAAAATAAGTGTAGTAATCAAGTGGAAACTACTCGTGGCTGCTGAATAGGATTAGAGTGTGTGGGAGAGAGAGATAATTAGAAGTACTATCGAGCAAGAAGGCGAGGCTTGATTAGGCTCAAATCTTTTTTTGTCTCTCATATCACACTCATTTCAAGAGCAATGTATTCACACAGCACGCGTCCAACGGAACGCAATCACATACGGTAACAAAAGGATATACGTATCTTAGGCAAAAATGAAGCTGAATGGTCATAATTGCATCCGTTTCACGCTTCATTTGCAGCCACTTCACTTTTCACTAGCATTTAGGAAAAGCATAGGATATCCAACCAAATCATGAGATGCCTCATTAGGTAGACCAAATTTGGCTATAAGAAATAGATAGATTTAAAGCCGGACACCTTTCTTGTCTTCGTGTTTTGGGGAATTATCATAAAGCATGGTGTCCTGCTCTGACGATGTCCATCACATGATGGATGAAAGCTCAGCAAAAATTCATCGGGATCGAAGGGCGGCGAGCTGGGGACTTGTTCGCACAAATTTACAGTCACGGCCAACTTGTGAATCCCTTCCACTCGCCTCTTCAAACGAAATGAAGGGTACTCCAACATCAATCTATTAAGGGATTCTTCGAAACCCAATGTTTCTATATACATTATTTTGTAGACACCATATTTGGTTCAAGGATCTTATTCCTCTCAATATGTGCGCTAAACCTAGGAAGGTGTTACAATTTCTTTTAATTATCTTTCTTAATGACTTGACTATCGTTCCAAAAGAGAGCTAGTCAATTTTATTTCTATTTAATATTGTTTTTAATCAAAGGTAATGGGTAGTTGTCATATAAAAAATATAAAAGCCCATCTAATTCATTCCACTACTCCATACCCGCCAGCCTCTTACTCACAATAATGTTATATTTTACAATTCCATCTTTAGTATTGTTAATATCGTTGGAGTGAAATTTAAGCATAAAACCCATATAAAGTTGAATTCCACTAAAGATATTTTTCTGATACAACAACTTCCTTAACTATCAAACCATCTTAAAATGGTAACGTATTGTTCATTTCAAACTCCTTTGCAGATTTAATGTATTTTTTATCTTGTAAATTAAGTTCAAGAAATTTTCTAAATTATTCCCACTGATGCTGAATAATAAAGTAGTCATCTAGGTATATACCTCATAATTTCGGTGTCGCATACCTGGAGTTCTAACTAAATGTACTTCTTTTAGAATCTTTGGATGCTTCTAAAACATGAGCCCTATTGCTTCACTATCCCCATTGAACTGAAATTTCGGTATACAGTAATACCACATTCAATTTATTAATATCTTCCCGCAACTAATCTGTTGATCTAATAATTTCACAAAATTATATGGAATTTAATTAGTTGCGCTTAGAATTATCTTATCTTTTATCTTATTCACAGGAATTATGACATCTTAATTATTACTCATCTCTTATTATTTACGATTGACATTTATAATATTCCAATTTGTCCATCTTCCGAAGCTCATGAAACTTAGGTGCTCTAACCCCTTTATCCTGCCTTAAATAGCAGTTTCCACTCCTGTGTGTAGGGATAGACATATAGATTACTCTGTTTCTGATTTTGACGTCCTGTCACTTGGAAGAGGTTAGGTTGACTGCTGATGAAGCGAAACATCATTCATGCCTTGTTTTCGAGAATGTGTAATATCTGTAATAATTTGGAATACATATAATACTTGACTTAAATGGTGAAATTTAGGTCATCTCTTTACTCCATCACGAGAGATAATATTAACCCCCGAAAGAACATTTGTTTGAATGTTGGTCTCTATTGTTTAGCATCATTATGCCCGTGTCGAATTCTACAATAGTGCCTTATTAGGGTCAAAAGTATTGCAAGTGATATCTCATAAGCAGCATGATTAGACAGATGGGAGTGCTGCTAAGTGCGGTACGTTCAGATTCGTTATCAAAAGTGAGTCTAATCCATGCTACTATCTTCCTTCTGGGTATGGTCCGTATGTAGCTAATAATTGGGCGTCAATGTACAACAACGATTGTTGTCTACGAAGAAAATTTGCGTTCCAGATAATATTTTGGTCTGGGATTATTGAATACACTTCCACGTAGAATACAAGCTATTCCAGGTTTGATCTCACCACCAGATGGCGGTGGATTCCTTATGGCCAATTGTCAATTTGCTTTATCAGAACATTCTGGCTGGCTCTTTCTTCGAAGCATTCTCCCTAGACTCCAGTGAAGATGTGCTAAGCTCTCGTCTTGTATATGACGGACATAATCAGAGCAGGGGAGCATTATTTCAACCATATTCAGGCCAACGAATTAAGATAACTGACAATTTTATCCCTCTTACTTACTGTATTCATTGGGCAAATATGCATTTTAATGAATTATTTATGGTTAGTTCAAGTCATTTGTCAGTGTAGAAGCTCATGTGTGTGTGTATAGGCATAGATAGGAAGCCAGCATGGGTAGCTTAACACTCGTTTCCTCGGTAATCAAGGTTTAATGATCCTTTTGCCAACCAGCAGTCCTATTGTCTGATGCTGGCCAGTCAGTACTTTCTGGATAGGCTCTTCGTATAGCGAACTTTCAAAAAGACCTACAAATGAGGCGACTGTGTGGCAGCGATTGTTAAGCCGTGATTCAAGGTCCAGTTGTCTCCAGCGCCTCTTTCAGTTTACTTCTTTAATCCTTTGCAGCAATCTTGAAGAGCAAAACAGCCCAAGGATTACGATTGCGCCCCCTCTCCTCAATATTTTGTCATCACTACCTTCGTCTGTCAGCCAATCCCATGCCCCATCTGCCAGTTGTCTCGCGGACATCTCGTCAGTTTCTCTCCAGCTGCCTCCTCCCCCTCTTCCTTCTATATCGCCTAACTCACAGCCTCCTCTACCGCTTGTTAGCACCTTCGAGCTTTCCCCGATCATTTCGGCATCTCGAGATGTGCTTACGCCGAACGAGACGGTTGATCAGCTGGCCACGCTTGGAGGCATTGGTCAGGCGGATTGTGATACAATCAATGCCGGCGGTTTCGGAGGTGGCAGCGCCGGAAGTGGCAACAGCAACGGCAGTGTGGGTAGTTATGACAATGGTAAAAGTAGCTATTCTCTTGGAGGTTACCGGCCGACTGGTAGATGGAATCATGGCACGACGAAGAGTGGCGATCAGTTCTCCTGTCGTCAGTGTGGCCACACGTATCGGCAGAAGGTGCACCTTCGAAAGCACGTCATGTCAGCACACTGGCTCCGGAAGCCCTACCAATGCCAGCATTGCGCGTATGCGACTGTCGAGAAGAGTCACCTAACTGTCCACGTTCGCACACACACAGGCGAGAGGCCATTTCGCTGCCGAGAGTGTGGCTATGCCTCGGCACAGAACTGCACACTCAAATCGCACTACCTGCGCCGGCATCCGGCCAGTCGAGTCTTGTGCGGCTGGTGTGGAGACACTTTTGTCACGGAGCAGGAGCGCAATAACCACCAGCGTAGTTGTCAGGACGGTCTCGACGTTGGGCTCGACCGGGCCCCAACACTTGTCTCCTCTGGCTCTTTACCTTCATCCAGTTCAACGTCTTTTCCCGTTGCCTCAGACAACGAGCATAGCTTCCAGTTGGCACTCGGCAACAGCGGTTTAGAGGCCGAGAAATCGCTAGCTCCTTCAGGTGACAACGAGTCGACTACAGTCGCACTCGGCTTCAATTTCGCCTCTTCGACCTCCTCACCTCGAGTTCCAGGCGGCTTTCAGGCCACTCACTTTTCCCTTCGGTCCATTCCCACTCCACCCACGACAGTCTGGAAGCCTCACTGCTCACTAAATGCGCATGTCTAGAATGCTCCAGACTATCTGAAATCTACTTCTAGACATTTTCTTTCCTTTCTTGCTATGCCTGACGCATCAAAGAAGGCCTCTTTCGTCGAGACGCTCCTCGTCATCTCTCCTCTTTGCACCACAGACCTGATGCTGGAGATGTGTGAAGTTTTTCATGACCACATTTACTTGTTAGTATGCTCGGTCTCCCGTCCACAAGTGCTGTTATATCAGATTATCTTGTCTTATCGTGTCCTACAATCGTAAGAGTAAGGCCTACTTGTCTTTTGTCTACATTCT